AGCAGGACCCGTTCAAGCAGCGTCAAGTATTCCTCCTCGTCCAGTAAGTGCTCGTGCTTTATGTTTCTCCCCGATTGCCCTCTTTCTGATTTATAGGCTGCACATGGTTGCCAAGGATTGGTGTCTCAGTAATACAAGTGCTGCGCTGGTGAGTACAAAAGTCTGCATTAACAAGTGGTACGGAGGTTGAGATTTCCTGTGGGTTTGGAGGCAGCAGAGTATCTCTCATACCCAGTGAGATATTGTGGTGTTGTCTGTGAGGATAGTGCAAATAGTTCTTTTTCTTTTTTTTTTTTTTTTTTCAGTGACTTCATTTTTTGAACAAGTAGTTGTCATTTGACAGAAGCATGTTAGCCATTTTTCTGTAAAAAGATAGAATTTAATGCCTTTCCAGTGCTGCAAGGAATTCTGTTCTGTTTTTCTTTTGACTTCTAAGATTCAAAGTTTGCTCCCAGAGAGCTTATAATGGTGTTGATGACAGCTGATGTCCAAGGTGGCAGGTTTGAAGGCATCTGAAACAGGAGAACGAGAAATAAATGTCCCTGTGTTGTGAAGGCTGTTCCCTTGTTCGTCTTGTAAATGCAAATGTGGAGCTGGACACTACACGTTGATTACCCCAAGAGATTCCTGCTACTGTGTATTTTCATTCACTTTTGCCGTAGGTAAGGCAGGTGCACAGTCGTGATGCCCACGAGGTGGGGATTTGGAGTCTATCCTGCCCTGTAGCTGTGCACTCAACAGACCCTTGCAATATCAACACTTGTCATATTGAAATCAGACTTTAGTTAAGAGGCGAGGACAATGCAGATGACAACTCTTAAGAAGGTAGTTGATAATGAGAGATTGTCCCTGACACCTTTGGACTAAGTCCTGATCTACGCCTGTAGTCTTTGGCATGTGCGTGTGGCAAAGCATATCTGTTCGGTAAGTTTTTTAGGAATGACAGGGGACCAAAGGGACAGGAAGAACCCCTTTGGCTGGGTTTCTCAGGCCTGTTGAGAGGGATGCTATTATCAGCAGATCTGTGTTTTTGTAAGGGGTCTTAGAATTCTGGGTATGTCCTTTTTGTGTGTTTTCATACTGTTGAAATAATTACCCTGCTTGCAGTATTCATTTTTATTGCATGCTAAAAATGTTGTTTGCTGCTTGTTTTGATTTGGATTGTTTAGTGCATCCAGCTTCCCTTTTATTTTAATGATTTTTTTTCTTGCACATTTATATATGCATGTAACTCAGAATGTGAATAAGCTAAAAGAGTATGTACAGTCTCTTCTCGTGCATTTTTTGACATGATGCTATTATTGACTTCTTGTTAAACAATAACAAATTTAAAGCAAATTAATGTGGTCAGAGTTTTCTGAACAGGAGTCACTCTGCACTCCCACTGCCTTTGGACCACAGACTTCAAATCATTTGGAGAAAAATGATAAGTGTTGGCCAGTTCTTGATTTAAATGAATTGGTTTTTGATTTCCAGAGCTCTGTAGCAGCATGCTAACAACTTTCCTTGTGCATAATTGCAGTAGATGATGCTAATCCTTTCTCTGAATTAGTTGCTCTTAATATACTAACCTCCTAATTCCTTAATAGGATTGTGAACCTTGCACAAGCTCTAAGTATACTAGTGTACTTCATGCTTCATCGTGCTGTACCAAGTCTGTGATGCATGTTCCTGTACTAACGCTATGGTAGATATAGTGTATCAACACGTAGTACCCCGTTCCTGGACCAAAAGTGAAATGTTGATAAACTGAACTACTGCACTGTGCTATCAAGACATTTTTTAGCATGATACAATAACCCTTGAAGTATTGAGTGTCAAGGCCTGGGAGAAAGGAGGCAGATGTGGCTGATTTATTCAAGGATTTCTTAAAGCGTTTAGCTAACCACAATAGTTTCCAACTCTCCCAGTGGGAGAAAGTTAATCTCACTAACGGAGGAACAGAATTAACTATCTGGCCATGAGACAAGAAATGCCAGTAGGTTGTTAGGCCATCGAAGTAACTTTGTGAAATGCACAGATAACATCAGAATAATCCAAGTTACCAGTTTTGAAAGCTAAGGGCCTGTCTGTCCCTGCTCCTCTGTGTTACATGATTTGTTTATTTGGTGTAATTTGAATGATACTGAGGGAGTTGATTCGGGTTTCTCTGGGCATACAGGGATGGAAAATCAGGCTCTTAATATTAAAATTGCTGTTCGATGACAGGGTGATCTCTTGATTCTAAACTCTGGGTAAACAAAAAAAAAAAGATATTTCTACTGATGGAATATGTGGAATATGGGCAAATTTATTTTTTTCTGTATATATATATTAATCCAAAGACAAGACACTTATATAGCTATAGCTGAGATAGAAATGTTCAGGAGTGCTTTTTTCACTATACAGTAGTTGTCTACAGTTTCTACCTGCATCTTATACACCAAATTAATTGGTTTTGTTTGTACGATCTATGATGTTGGCTTAATTCGCTTGCAGTGTCTCAGTGTAATGATAATCTTGGTAACACAGTGAAGCTTTTAGGTATTGTAGTTTTAAATAACACTGCTGGTTCTGTGTTTGGTGGGTCTTCATTCTCCAGGGAAGAATGGAAGGGAATGAAGCAATATCTGTAGAGTGTAGTGAGGCAGTGAGCTCCGGGAGCCCAGTTTTCAAATGAGGACATCTCGATGCTTCCCATGCAAGAAGGACCTGGGTGTCTACAGATCTGCAGAACTGGTTGGCATAAATGGGCAGCTTCCACTTGGCTCCAGGGGTTGGAGCCGATCCTGACTCTGTGAACACTCTTTTTGTGGAGTGTCATTAATGGCGAATTGCAAGGCAGGAGGTGAACGTGGGGGTGTGGACTCTTGCAAATAACACCAAACACCATAGTCTGTTCTTCACTTAAAAAACCCTCCTCTTGCTTGTACTTGCAGCTAATTGGAAAGGTGTCTGCAGGCTTGAAAATTGGGCTCTTTTTAGAAAAGGACTTCTGTGGGACTATGAGGAGTCTGAAACGTGTGCTACTTATACACAGAGCTTCTGTGCATGGAAAGCCAAGTTTGTGGTAATAATGTACTACATTGGAGTTGTTAACGCAGTCTTTGCTTTTCCATTGGAATTTCCCACTCCAAATTTGTATAGTGAATGGGAGCCATAGAAGTGCTCAACTTTGAAATAAGCTCTGAGAATGTGCTGTTTAACTTAAAGTGTGCACAGAAACTCTCCTTTACTTGTGCTCTCGGGCTAGTTTTGTGTTACCTTTTGCCCTTTTGTAGTTATTCTTTACTACTTTCTTCAGTCTGAAACCAATTCATTTTTTATAAGCATCAAGGCGGAGGCCACAGGGTTCAGATTACACTTCTACTTCGGAGGAGGAATATGGCTCAAATCACAGCTCCCCTAAACACAAACGCTCCCATACTTCAACAGCCACACAAACACCGAGGATACGTGGCTCTGGGCTGAACAAGCAGAAGCACAACGGCAGAGAAACAGATGACGATGAAGATTTTGATGACCACCCTGACCCCTACAACTTCATGGCGCAAACAGCAGAGATAGCAGAAATAGCCAGGTGAGGTGGGGCTTTATGCATTGACCCACGTGCTGAAAATGGATTGAGGATTTTTTCGGTGTTCAAAACAAACCCAGGTGTGGAGGTAGGAGGAGAGGCACGCTTTCCTGTTGTTTCTGTGCCCCCCATCTCCTTCATATCTGAACATCAGTATGTTCAGGCTTGAAAGGTTTTCATGAAGCTTTACAGCCTGTGCTAGGCAGTGCTGGTTGCACCTGCCCTCTAGAAAATGCCAAGGCGCAGGGAAGCTGAGTTCTATCTTGGTTTGTTTCTTGTTCAAGCTGTGGACAGGTATTGTCTTTTAGTTCTAAGTCTGTCAAAAGATGTAGCTGTCTCTACCTGCTTATCTCTGCTTTCTGCTGGAAGTCACTGTGTGTACACAGAGTGGTTGGTTGGTGTGAACTGTCTTAATTCTCTGCAGAGGAAGTCAAACTGATTAGCAAAGGCTAAATGTGTGAACTGTTGAAGCTGCTTTACCTGAAGCCAGTGAGGAAGCAGTGAGCAGTCCCTGCGGGGCAGAAACCTCTTTGCTTGGCACAATTGAATCCAAACAAGCAAATCTGGCTGGGCCCCTGTGTATAAATGTGTCCTCATTGCTTAGCTTGATGTCCCTGGATACAGGACCCATTGTGTACCGGTGGTCTGGTGGTTGCCTGGAGGAACTCGGCAATAAAGCAAATAGATTCTTTTTTTAAACAGTGGCATTTGAGGTTTGACATCCCTAATAAGCCACTGTGTTATGCCAACTTTCCAGAAATACTGGTCTTCCCTTGTGCTGGCCATACTTGAAATACTTTTGACTGAGGAACCAGTCTTCTGTCTGCTTTTGGTCAGCATTTCCACGTCACCCATATAGCTTGCCGCACTGATCTGAAAAAGGCTTTTCTTGCATGAACGTTGCTGTCAGGCTGCTAGAAAGTGTGTCAGCCTTCAAACCAGGCTGCATTACCTGTGCCACACGAAGTGTGCGTGTGGGAGACGCTGGCTTCCCTCCTAGCAGCGTTCTGAGTGCGGGAGAGGGCTTTGGCTTGCAGCAGCCATAAATAAATGGTTGCGTCAGACTTGTCTGGCGCTTGCACGTTGCAGGGCTCGGTCACAGAGTCTGCTTCCTAATTGCAGTTCTGATTTCCATTGCTGCTCCCAAATTAACTGGGAGGGGTTTAGAGGAGTCAAGAGAGAGTTAAAAGGGAAAATGCCACTTGTTTATAGTCAGTGAATCACATAATGCATGCATTGGGTGACAGCTCTATCCAAACCAGCACAGATAGGGGGCACCTTAGGCAATCAGATCAAACTGCATTTTATGAGTGCAATTATGCATTTTCTTTCCAAGGAAATGTTTTGATGAACTGACAGTTTTATCACGTTGCTTGGTTTCTTTCGCTTAAAGAAGAAAGTGTCTTTCAGCTGAAGCTGGCTAGCTGTAAGTTTATTTCTCAGAAGCCTTTCTTTAAAATGACCACAACAGCTACTTTTGGTCTGAAGGTTGGTTTTTTTGAGCTCTGCTAGCAGCAGTCCAGAGGCTTAGACGTTGGTTTTGAGCTCTAGAGCAAGTAGAGCAGAGTGCTGCAGTCACAGAGTGTTAACTGGACACTTGTCAAGGGGCTTGAAGTTTCAAGACTTGGTTTCTGAAAATCAGATCCCTCCAAGGTATGCTATGCTTACCCTGGTAGTCCTCAGCCCTTCTGGAGAACGTGGAGGCATATTTTGATTTCAGTCTATAAGCCACAAGGAAGAAGGAGAGAGAATTTGAGATTTTTATTCTTTAAGTAACAAAGAAAAAAGCTTCTTTCTTTATATGGGCTTTGTAAGGAAAAACAAAGGCGTCACGAGAAGAAAATCCCTCCAAGGTATGCTATGCTTACCCTGGTAGTCCTCAGCCCTTCTGGAGAACGTGGAGGCATATTTTGATTTCAGTCTATAAGCCACAAGGAAGAAGGAGAGAGAATTTGAGATTTTTATTCTTTAAGTAACAAAGAAAAAAGCTTCTTTCTTTATATGGGCTTTGTAAGGAAAAACAAAGGCGTCACGAGAAGAAAAAGGTTAAGCACGTTCTATTAAAAAAAAAAAAGGAAGTAGAGTGGATGGGTGAGGGAG